ACACATTTGAAGAAAGCAAACATCCACACATGTTACATTCCCTTAGAATTGCCCATAGAGGGTGTTTAAAATGCTGTTTCTCAGGCTACCTCCCCAGATTCAGACTCAACAGGTTGAGGGACACCTAGGGATCTTACTTTTCAGCAAGCTTTCTGAGTCTAATGCTGCTGTTTTTAAAGCACAGTTTGCAAAACACTGAGCTAAAGAAATGATTCATAAATGTTAGATTTTCTCTTTGAAAAAAATTACAGAAGGACTATATATGTACTGTAAGTAAATTCTAAAATGCAGAAAAACAAAAGGAAAAAGAACCACTTGAAACCCCCCAGTCAGGGGTATTAACTACTATGGACAGTTTGATGTACACTCTTCCACATTTTTCCTGTGTGTTATGTGCAGGCCATTATAGATGGGGCCATACACTGTGTATTACTCTGTGGCTTGATTTTTCCACTTAACAATGCATCTTAACACACCAGTCCATGTCAATAAATATAAATTTATGGTATTCAGGTATCAGTGGAGATACTTGTTTTAGGGGATGGTCTGGACCTTCTATCTCTTCAACTTGCATTATCTTATCTAGCAAATACCTACCTGCCTTGGTTACAGCCAGAATTTGGGTTCATTTCTGAACCCAGTGCCCTGCATTCAGCTACACTTCACAGAATCTTGCCTGAGCTGGGAAGCAGGGAGCTCGTGGTTCATTCTGGACATGGAGCATCCTTTCCTGGCCTTCTGGCCAAATGCTCCAGGGCTTCTAGAAGCAGTCAGGGGAATTTTTAGACTCTGACGCTAATCTTGAGAGTTCCCTGCTCCAAAGGACTGTCAATCTGCAAGGCTTGCAGCTTTGGGTTATACCAGCTGTCAGTCCCAAGTCCCACCTCCCTACTGCCCACCTACTAGAACCTATGGGGAATAGGTTCAGGGCTGATTCAAGGACTGAAATGTAAGCCAGGCAAAACTGGAGCAGCTGCCTTTGAACTGCAGGGATTGCTGCCGGCCCCCACCCCGACCCCCACCCCCACCCCCGCATACCCCCCCAGGGCTCACCAGCCTGGCACCACCCCAGAGGTCCCTGCAACAAGGCAAAGTTCAAATCTACAGCAACTGGGAAGTGCATTTGGGAACAATCAGGGGCCCCTGACCTCTGACATGTGACCCCAGGGCCACCTTCCCTGCCAGACTGTATTTGAATCTTTGGAACCAACTTTAAAAATGTGTTGTAGAGGCCCATTTTTGAGAAGAAATGAACTTAAAATACAATCTCTAGCAAACTTTTCTAAAAAAGTAAGTGGGATAATTGGCTTCAGCCTTAGAAACAAACAAAACACGAAGCAAACCCTGTAACCTCCAGTTTGGGACTGTAGAGGGGGCCTGCATTTGTATTTTCCTGGTGCTTTTATGACCTAAGAGCCGGCCTGCCTACCTCTGGATTGGGGCCAGCGGCACAAAGCCGGGCTATCACAGAGCAGTTTCGGAAATGAGGGTCTAGAATGGAATTTCCTCCCCATGCCCTCCGGTCTGCAGCCTCCTCACTCGGCTACCCCCTCTGGAAGCCTCTGGGCCCAGCTCTGTGCAGAGCTGGAGAACAAAAGGACTGTTTCTCTGAGTTTTCCCTGGATCCCAGTGAGCCTTGCGTTGTACACAAATTCCATAAAAGCAACTCTTATGTGCCCTTTCCAGTGCTAAATTTCTGAAAGCATAAAGTGAATCAAGTGCTGCATATGTGAGGAGCCTACTATGTGTAAATCTCTGTGGGGGATACAAAATCACATATTGTAGCTAAGAGCCTTACCCTCAGAGAGCTTACTGTTTAGGTGGAATGTCATAACGAGTCACAGCCCAAGGGAAAAATCAACTTACAATTCAAGGCAGCAATCCAAGCGATCATTTGACTGAGGAAAGTACAGGTGTCAGGAGTTCAGTAAACGTGAGATGTCTGCTGAAAATCTTCTCTATTAGACAAGACAGGGGATCACAAAGACCCTGACGTGGTAACTTGTCTCAGAAGATGGCTGCCATAATTCTTTCCTTCCTGGTATGCACGCAGGCTCCCCCTCAGAGAGAGGGAATCTATGTCTTCACCTCCTAGAATCTCGGCTGGCCTGGGACACCTTTGACGAATGGAATTTAGTGGAGGTTATCCTGTGCTAGTTAGTTTCAAGTCTAGCCTTTAAAAAGACCAACAGTTTCTGCATCTTCTGACTTAGAACCCAGCTCACACGCTGTGAGGAAATCCCAAGAAGCCGCACAGCGGTCCAAATGGAGGGCAATTCAGACCCCAGGACCACAGCCCCAGCTGACTCCTGCCAGGAACACCACCTTGCCAGCTATGTGAGTGAACCACCTTGGAAAGAGATCCTCCAGCCCCACCCATCCACCTCCGCTGACACTGCGAGGAGCAGATAGGAGCCGCCCAGCCCTGCCTCAGCTGCAAAACTGCACGCAGATCAAGGACAGGTGTTGCATTCAAGCATCTCACACCAGTCCTACAAAGACGGCATTATTATTATTATCCCCGCTTTGTAGGGGAGGCGCCGAGGTGAAATAGTAAAGCAAACTATGCATGATAGTCCGGCTGACAAGTGGAGAAATCACGAGAATATGGTATGTGTCCCAGGGTTGGTGCAAACACCAGTTTGGCAAGAGGCAGGGATATTAATTAGGAAGTTGTGTGATATAAGACAGGAAGATGGATGGGTCGAGTTTGAATTAAGGAGTGACTCACATGCCAGGATAAGAAGTTAGCACTTCATTTAATAATGGCCATTTAAAAGTGGCCACTGAAGGCTTTTAAGTAGAAGAAAAAGGATAAAAATAACTTAGACAAGTGCTGGACACCAGATAGTTTGAAGGGATGAGGGGCTGTAAGCAAATGGCCCAGCAAAGGGAGAGAATTATTTGGGAGGAAGTGACAGGGGCTTGCCGCCTAGGGTGCCAGCAACGGGAACAGAAACACACATGCCAAGACTTTTAAAAAACCATTGATAGGATTCCATGGTCCATGGCTCCAAAAATTTGAATCTGAGTGTCCCAAAGGAGAAAGGTTTGGGTGATACCACTAACGAAAGTGGTAATGCAGGAAAAAGAGTCTGTTTGGGAAGACAGAAGTGTATCATATGAACTCAAAAAGTGATCCTGGAACTGGAACAGGACTGAGGAAGATGAATTTAGTGTCAGATAAGCTGCAGCAGAAGAGCTGACAGAGCATGAAGTGGTGGGAATCACGACCCCGTCCTTGAGTAGTTTGTGGATCCTGAGTTCTCTCTTACATACAGTCACACATATGTACACACATGTACTCTCAATACCTAACCACACACACATACACAAGTGTGCCCACAAATGCACAATTACATGTATGTACACAGTGTACGTGCAGCACACACACATACATACACAAGTGTATTCACAATACATCATCATGCATACACACACCCTCCCCACATAGCAAGAACAGTACATATTAAACAATAATAAAAAGAATAAACTTTCCAAATGTTTGGTACTGAGATAGAATTTGTGGGTGATCTAGAAGGAAAGGTCCCTGGTCCGGCAGCATCCAAAGGGCTACAGCTAGCACACATTCTTTAATGACACAGAACATTCCATCCATCTCATGAATGACTGTAATTTGTTGAACTATGCTTGTAAGTTTCATACATTTATGAAGTTGATCATTTTGGCTGTTATAAATAATGCAAAAATGAAAGTGCCTATAAATAATTTTTTCCATGCATCTGATTATTCTCTGAAGATAGATTCCTAGAAATGGAATTAGTGGGCTGCAGGGTGATAATTTAAGAGTATTTATGATACTCACTGCTAAATAGCCTGCTAAAAATATTGCCAATTCACTTTTTTTCCAACAGTGTCTAAGAGGCCTGTCCTACTGCTTGGGTTACAGTGGAATGAAGAGGACATATAGCTGTATACTCTGTATGACCTTTTTGTAAATTAAATATGTGAAAGTAGATGAAAAGATAGCCCACAATGTTAACAGTGCCTAACTCTGGTGTTGGGGGTTTATGGGTGACCAAATTTTCTTCTTTATACCTTTCTGTATTTTATAAATTTCCTAAATAGTATGTGTATTCATTTGAAAACATTTTCTAAGCAGAAAAAGTAATATGACAGAAAGCATACTCTGCTTAAGTCAGGAAAACTGTGTTGTCCCATGTGTCCAGCTGTAGGGTCCTCTTGGACACACCACTCAGCCCCACGGGGCTTTGCTCTCTCAAACAGCCATCAACAGGCACTTAAAAAAAATACCTTTCCCAGACTAACTGAATCCGAATTTGTTTGGTGGAGTGGAGCCTAGCATGGTGGCCCATGTAGCCTAATGTCAGTTCAGGGAAGCACACTCCTTAGCCAAAGATCTAAGAAAGGCCTTCATCACCACACTGCAGACTTCACCCCACTGAGCTGCTGATGTCTTTGGGGGAAGGAGAGAATGACAGGGTGGTGCTGGGTGAGGTCCACCTTTACAGGTATGTCTGTCTCAGCTGCAGGCAGAGGTCACCTGGTTCCTACCCACCAACATTTACAGACAATGAGTCAGAACCAAAGTCGGCCTCTCAGAGGGCATTCAGTCTCTCCATTCCAAGTGCCAGTGAGATCAGAACAGTAAAGTCAGGCAGCCGCTGGCTTTGACCCTCCCTTCCTGTGTGAGGGAAGCAAAACTGGTGGTCTCCCTTTCTGGGGGGTTTGTGGTTGAGAAGAGGGAGGCACAGGAGGGGCAGAAGGGAGAGGAGGGATACAGGCCTGTGGCCTGCTGCTTCCTCGGGACCAATGGGGAGAGGACACCTCATGCTGGCTGGGCTCCCAGCCTCCTCTGAAGCCTGGAGATTAGGGCAATTTAATCCTCTGCTCCTCTTCTCTGGCTATTTCTGTGGGGAAGGAGGTGGGGCGGGCTGCCTGTTCCCTCAGCAACAGGGCCTGGCCCGGCTCCATTGCGGGGAGGGCCCCAGCTGGGAAAAGCAGTGCGGGAAGGAAGGGAGAGGCCGGCCTTCCCAGGACTTCCCTTCTCAGAGGTGGCAGAAGCTGTAGACACCCTAGAGCCCTCGGTTCCAGAGGGGAGGGGAGCAGTCTGGGTCCCCCATCCCTCTGGGAGGAGAGGAGAAGGCCAGAGAGGGGCCTGAGGGCATAAATACCTGAGCTCTTTGTTTACAGGCTGAAGCGAGGATGCAGCCAGACTTGGCTGCAGGCTGGGGGAGGAGGTGTTAGAAAGAGCCCCAGGGCAAGCTTCCCCTTTGATGATGAGAGGAGGAGGCCAGTCCCCGACAGCCCTGCTGGGCGGCTGCTCCTGGCCCTCAGCCCTGAGGCCGCATGCTTGGCATCTGTCAAAAGACTAGGTATTCTCAGCATTTCAATTTTGGGAGCTTCTTAAAAGCTTCTCCCTGAAAACACCTCCTCCTGCGCGGCCCTGCGAGGGTTCTGAGCTCCAGGCCCACGATCTCCCTTATACCCTCTCCTTCAGCTGGTTTCTTCATGTCCATTCCCCCCTACATTCCTCCTTCCCATTTATCCCTTATATTTCCTTCTCTCACACATACCCACTACAAAAACAAATTAAAATCTCCCACCCTTTTGGTTTTCTTCCAGATTTTGGCAAATCTTGCATTTACTCCGTAAGATTCTTTTCATGGACTAAAGAAGTGTGGATGGAATTACAATAATAAAAATTAAATTTGTGTATGAATCTGGGAAGAATTTAATGAATGGAGAGACATGCCAGGTCTCTGGTAGGAAGACTCAAAAATCTAAAGCCTGCCATCCTCTTTCTGGTGTGTTTTCCAGCAGGATAATAAATGTTCTGATGGCCCTAAGGGCTCAACACGACCCTCTAGGCCTGGAGACACAAGAAACCCTGTGAACTGGACATGCAGCACGCTTTAGGTGGGTTCTGTCTCTAACCGTTTTAAATGTCTTGCTACTTAAAGACATGAGCTTCCAGGTTTAAAAACACACCACTTTTCCCAACCGTACCTAAGGAGTAAGATGTTAGTATTTTCCACGTGTGATTTAATGAAGTCCCTTAAAAATAAATGTCTTCTGGAGGGATAACCTTGCTGCTAGTAATTCCCATAATGCCATTTCCTTAGGGACCACTGAGTCAACTTGGAAAATGTCATGATATTGAAAATCACATTGAAGAGACTCCATCCCCGTTTCATGAGGCACCATTTCATTGCTGACTGCATCTTCAGCGGAGAAGAACCGTACCCGGGGTCCAGTAGAACAGAGCACGTCAACCCAAATCTAACCCTTCCCAAACACACCCCTCCACCCCACACAAATGACAAGATCCCAGTTCATGCGCACAGGGAGGAATGGGACCGCAGACCAGAGCCTTTCTTGTGGTGGCCAGCACAGCTTTCCCGACCCTTCCATGGCCGCGCTGCACTGAACCTCCCTTAGTTCACCTGCAGCTTCGGCAGATGGTTGTGGGGATTAAGGTAATGCATGTGTGTTGAGCATGGAACTCAGTGCCCAGTGCCTGGAAGCAACAGTAACTCTGTCTGTGACCTCTGGGCCCTGGGAATGTGCCTGTGTTATTTCCATGGCTCACAGGAAGCTACTGCACAAGGACAACTCACCTTGACTCACTGAGATGGAAGCTCAGGCAGGTTCAATAACTTGCCTACGGTCACCTTGTCAGGTCGATGGTGCAGTCTGGATTCGAACCCCAAGTGCTCAGCAACACATAAGCTCCTTCCAAAGCAGCCATGCCTGCACTGCATCATGACCGAATCACCAATGGTTTGCTGACCTGAGTCCTGGGAAATGAGAGCAGCCCACTCTGTCCAAGCATTTGAGTGGACTGGAGGCAGTCCTTTGGCAGATGGTGGCTGAACCGCCTAGGAAGCAGGTGGAGAGAGAACAAAGTCAATGAAGAGCCATGTTTTGCAGCTCCTCCGGAGGGCTTGCAGTCCTGCCCAGGGCCTCCCGCAAGACTGGAGTTTGAAGGCCCTGAGAACTTCTTCACATAAAGATGGAGGTCCCACACTGGTGTGATTTTAGTGGAAGGGAAGGTATTGGATTCACATGGTCTAATAGGAAATGTGCCTGAAGGGTCAATATTAAAGAATCATTCTCTGAGGTCTTTAGTCTTTTTAGAGCCCTCTTTTCAAAGGACTATGCTTACAAGAAGGCGATCCCTACAGTGATGGTGCCATCTTCCAGGGAAGCAATAAAGCTCCACTTCTCTGGGGTTGAGGAGCAGTGGGGGTGCAGACAAGAGAGGGGGAGAAGGGGTACCAAAGGAGAGAGGCAGGAGGTTCTGCCCACCCTGTCCTGAGAAGCACCTTTGATTTGGTATTTGTTTTACGATCTCTGCTGGGTGTTGTACTCTTCGCTACTTTTTGACCAAGAATGGGTTGACTGAGAGGGTGGTGGGGGTGAATGGTAGAGAGTCAGGGACTAAGTAGCAGTGGGTGGATGAGAGGGCAGTTGTCTCTCACACCCCACCACACCCCAGTAGTATTTTTAGAGAATAACAGTGCCACCTGGTGGCTACTAACATGCAAAGACTCCTCTAAACCCTAACTGAAGAATAAATACACGCGTTGTTATTCTCTGCTTATTTACTACTCTAGTTTCCCACAGTCGAAACTCCCTCTTCTCTCCTGTCCTTTTCTCAGAAAATGAGCCAAACCATAAATGTACTTCTGAGAAGTGCTTGACAGCATTCGCTGTGGTACTCTGGGTAAGAGAAATAATACTCAGAAAACAGCTTCCAAACAGACCTCCAAGTCATCAGTATCTTAATCCCCTGGCACTGTGCTTATTTGGGAAAGCAGCAGCAGGCCGGAGGAGTAGAGATCCGTGAAGGAAAGCCTTAATTTCAGGAATTGATTCCAGCCATTGTCCAACATTTGGATTTTCAAAAAATCTGTAAATTACCAGAAGAGCAGAGAACCCTTCATTACCAATATCATCAATTTCTGCTTCTCTGACCCAAGCTCCGTCTCTCCAGTGACAGCTCCTCTCACTTTGCTGCAATTAAAAGAAAGGCCCTCCATGTGTATCACTGAGGTCCCCCCTGACCCCAGTGCCAGGCACTGCTTAGGGGGCTCCTCCCACAGTTGGTGACATCAGGACGGATGCAGTCACACACTCTAGGCTTTGTTTCCCTGCCAGGGACTCCGAAGACCAGGTCCCAGATGATCTTTCACTCCCCAAATCAACGAGAGCACATACAGAACAAGCGTAACTCACTGCCTGGCACACCGTTAAGTGTCCTGTATCAATGTTCCTAATACATATGGAACTAACAGCTGTTACCTGAAAGCAACACAAATTTTTAAGTGCTTCGGGATTTTACAAGGACTCAGTACAAGGTATCCAGATTTTCAGCTCTGAGATATTTTATTTATGTAGGAGTTCAAAGAGTTCTTTCCAAATGCTCTTGCGAATCCTCACAAAATCGCCCAGAAGCAAATGACCAGAAACGGGAACTCTGGCAAAACATTTATCTGAATAATATGGCTGGAGAGTCAGGATAAGGCAAGTTCTTACAATCCCCCATCCCCCTCAAGTGGACAGTAGTAAAGCTCCCTCCTAAGCCACCAGGTTTTTCCACTGTAAGTTCTAGGTAAGGGAGACTCCATATTTGTCCCAAGGCAGTAAGGAATAAAACTGAAAAATAATTCTAGATTAGTCCCTAAGCAGCACATTAGGGAGGAGAGTTGTAGGGCTCACATGGTCCGTTCTCCTCCTCTCCACCCGAGTATACGCGTGAAATTGGCTGAAGTATCCGGGGGACCTTAAGGGTAAGACACAGAGAGGAGTGCTGGAAGGGCCACCAGACGGGCTTGCAGGGGGCTTTGGGCGGGGGAAGCCGTCTCCTTGGCCGCCTGTGTTCCTGGCCCCAGCGCCTCTTCCTCCATTCTAAAGAGCATCCCTCCAGTCTCTGCCTCTGTCATCACCTTGCCTTCTCCTTCATCCCTAGCCCTCCCTCCCTTCCTGTTATAAGGCCGTGATGACAAGGGCCCACCCAGCACTGCAGGATTATCTCCCACCACAAGACTATTACTTAGTCTGCACAGTCCATTTGCCATATGATGTAACCTCTGCAAGGTTCTGGGGTTAGGATGTAGACTGCTTTGGAGGCCATTATCCTGCCTCCCACTCTGGGAAATCAGTGCAGAGAGACTAAACGGCCTTGCAAGGAGGAACTTCTTTAATATGGAAATCTTCCCATAATGTCCATTTCTCTAAATCCGAGGACTAGGGAATGTTTCGCCTATGTGTTGCCCACTGGAGTTCTGACATGCGCAAATGAGAGCTCTCCTGTTGACATGTTCCCCATCACAGTGACAAGGGAGGTCATTCCTGGGACGGTCCTGAGTCAGGGGTGCTGAGACCTTGGAGCAGCACAGACTTCTTCCTCCAGAAAGCACAGAAAGTCCTTTAAAGTCCAGCTACCACTTGGGCAGGCCACATGCGTTGACAGGAAGAGGCCCTTGGCCACAGCAGTCATGGGGAATGGAAAATGGATTTCATAACAACCAAAGCACATTGAGTTCTTTTTGACCGTCTCTGATGAGACTGTTTCTGGCTTTGAATTAGCAACAGGAGTCCTGACGCGAGCCACATACCCCAAAGATAATCATTTCCTTCTGCTTTTCAATAGAATCAGTTTCAAGGTAAGAGCTCTCCCCAGAGACAAGTTCAAATTGCCTTCACAATTACAAACCGCCCTCATGGGTGCCATTCAAACGGAGTGGACGCCACGCCACCTCCCCCAGGGAGGAAAGACAATGATGTGGCATCCACGGGTCCCTGAACCTAACCAGATGGCCCTGGTCCTGAATCGTCTGTCCAGTTCTCAGGTCTTGTGGTGGATTCTGGGACATGATCTGGCCCGTGAGCACCTGGGTGCCTCTGACTCTGGGCATTGCAGCATGAGCCAAGCAGGCCCCAAGCATCCAGACTAACTGCTGCCCTTTTATCCTTTGAAGTCTCCAATGAGAGATTCCATGAGCCATGGTCCCTGGGGGGTCAGCACTGAGGTCACAGTGACCACACTCCCTGGGGTCTGCTGGTGGGTTCCCCGCAGCCTTGATTTCCCGCTCTCCTTTCCCCCTGAAGAGGAGCGGTCTGTCTGTGAGGTTTTGGCTAGCCCCACATTTAGGATAAGCATACTTGCCTTTTCCAGGGCTCTAACTTCTTACAGAACTCTTTCAGTCTTTTCATTGCATTAGGGAGACAAATCTTCATGGGGGGTGTATCAGGTAGGAACTTGTTAGGCTGCAAACCCAGAAGGCGTGGCTGCTGCTGAGCAAATGGCCAGGCAGGGTTTCTCAGGGCTGTTGACCTCTAGGGCCAGGCAATCCTTTACTGTAGGGGTGGTCGTGTGAATTGTAGATATTTTGCAACATCTGGCTTCTAACCACTAGATGAGCAGCTCTCAATGGGGAGGTGGTCATTTTGTCTCCAGAGGACATTTCACAATGCTTGGAGACATTCTTAGTTGTCACAAATAACAACCTAAACCGTGGAGCAAGAGGGCGGTGCTGGTGGCATCTAGTAGGCCGAGGTCCGGGATGCTGCTAAAATGTCCTGCAATTCACAGGACAGCTCCCAACAACCCCCAAATTTCAATAGGGCCAAGACTGAGAAACCCTGGTTTAAAGAAACTGAAACGGCCATTTAAGCTGGTCCAACAGGATGGGAGGAGAGAAATCCCAAGAGAACGACAGCCCCCCAAAACAGAATTCATATCCTGTTTTCTCTACAAAGCCTCTCTCATCTCCTAGACTCTGCTGATAAGAGCCAGAAACAGTTCATTTTAACTGATAATTACTGAGATGAGAAAGCTCATGGGAGGCACCATGTGGCAGAGCCACGGCAGACGCGGTGCAGGAGAGAGGGGCACCCGTTCCGTGGTTAGGAGGGCTGACAGCGTGCAAGCGAGAGCTAATTTGTATGTGCTTCTAACTGGGACAAGGGACTGTGAAAATTCGAAGAGCCACGGAAGGCAGCCGCCTTTGGCGGTGTGAGCGCTGACAAGGTGGAGAACACAGCGCAACAAACCCTGAACAGATCCGATGCAGACTGGCCCACAGAGGCAGCAGGTAGGGCTGGCTCCATATGCTCTGTGCCTTTTGTTGTTTGGGTTTTGTTTTTTCTCGTATCCAATCTCTGTTGGAACACTTACCTCTCCAAGTACATTCAAATATCACCCACTTATACATACAAATGAAAGTAGGCCTTCATGATGAAAAATAATGAACACATAACAAAGGGAAAAAGGCAAGTGTCTGTGTGCATAAATGCCTCAGCTACCAATTGATCAGCCCCTGGGCACTGAAGGCTCTATTTTTTGTATTGTAAGTATAGCCAGGTGATGCGAAATAAATAGATGTGGGTTGTCACCAATTAACAGTAGCTGCTGGATCATTCTCCACACCCCGCCGCCAGTGACAATGTGGTAGGTACAGGTTGAGGGGGAAGAGGAGATAGAGAAAAGGAGAGGTTAGCTAAAATCACCATCTGCTTAGCTGCCTGGTGCACCTGAAATAACATTATTTTCAAACCTTTTTTTTTTCTACCTATAGTTAGCTTGGAATAGAACAGCTAAAATGCATTTTAAAAAATGAAGTACAGGAAAATAGAAAATCATTCCCTATTTCCTGTTCTACTTTTCCCCCTTGCCCTTTTGGATCAAGATAACACAACCTTTCTGGGCTTCCTGCAAGCCAGGTGCTCTCAGGTTAAAGTGCTTTAAAGTCAAGAATGAAGAAGGGACAGGCGGAGGAAGGTCTTCCCCAGGCAGCTTGTTCCCAAGACATGTTGGAGTGTTAGAACATTCTGGATTTTTGCAGGTCCTTTGGAGACATTGTTTTTTGGCACGGGGGCACTAAGGCCAAAACAGAGGGTATGTGGCGGAAAGAGATGGCTGGCTGGTGAGCATGCATGTAAATGCCCCCGTGGTTGTGCTGAATATTCTTGTTCAAGTTTCTATGTGGAAATTTACGAATCAAAATGGACAGACTTTGGACAATTCTGGCTCATCAGGGCTGGTGACTCTGACATTGTTCAAAGATGGGGAAGTCACTCTCCCACGGCTTGGGCTCCTGTGGACAGGAGCCCCCAGTCCATTGGCGCTGCACTTTGGCACCCTGACTCAAGGCATCCTTAGCCCAGGTCACCGGAGCCAGCCTTCTGGTCCAAATCCAGGCTCCCCCAGTTACTTCCTCTGTGACTTTGGCAAGTCAGCTATCCTTCCCCACCACCTACTTCAGTTTCCTCTGGTGTAAAATGGGCCTAATAACAGCACCTCCATCACAAAGGCCTGAATGAGGAAAGTCCTTAGGACAGGCAGGTTCGGAGTAGGTGCATAGCCATTATATTATTAGGGTTCAAGTTATGTCCTGCTCAGCTTTGTAGCTCATCATAGGCCAAATATTTAATGCATTTTACTGCTTATGGTCTTTTCGGTCTTAACTACTTATCATTTACCACTTACATAACATACAGATAATGCTCAAAGTGATATTTGAGAGGGTTTGTAAGAGCCTGTGGCCTGTTTCTGAATGTGGGCTGGGGCACTCACTACCCCTTCCAGATGGGCAGCAGGCTGGGTGTGGCCAGTGTTCCGGGAAGGCCTGGGGGAGGATGTACAGGATGTAACAGCCCCTGCCTCCCAGGGCTGAGGTGCTGGAAAATTCATAGGTGCACAATGGCCTGAGAAACCTCTCACACCCACCTTGGAATTCTTCCTGTATTTCTCTGAGCAAAATCTTTCTCCAGGTCTCTGCTTTTCCTTTGAGATTCCCTGGATCCGTGTGCCTCAGGTTCTGTACATGAAAAAACCACAAATAAAAACTCTGGAGTGGCAACCATGTGAACGCACTTAACACTACTGCCCTTTACACTTAAAATGGCTAAGATGGTAAATTTTATGTATATTTTACTGCAATTAAAAATAATTTAAAACATCATTAAAAACAACGAACCAACTAACTAGGCTGGGAGAGACTAAGGGCCTTCGTTCATGACTGACACCCGATTCTGGGAGGCTCAGTCCCGAGGCCCCCAGGCAGGCAGTGGTCCGGGTCCCTTGCTGGGGGGCAGGCGTGGAGCTCAGGGGGAACTGCGGGCTCCCCACTCCCGTGCCCTGGGCCTTCCCAGCAGGGCCGGTGGGCCCCTCTCCTCGGGGGAGGTCGTGCGGCCACGCCATGCCCGGCCGCGGCGCTCGGGGCCTCCCCTCTCCCTTCGGGGCGTGGCAGTGGGAGAGCGGGAGCGAAGGCGCGCGGCCCTCGGGGTCCAGGCCCCGCCGCGCCGGGCCGCGCCGCAGCCCCTCCCCGGCGGCCCCCTTCCCGCCGCGGCCGAAAGCCCCCGCGGACGGAGACGCCCGGGCCGGGCGGGACTCCAGGCTCGTCGGAACGCGAACTGCTTCCCCCTGCGTCCTTCCCGCGGGCAAGGGGAGGTGAGGGCCGCCGGACCCAGAGCCCGGGACCGCCGCGGGCCTCTGCTGCCCCCTGCCGGCCACCGCGCTCGCACCACCCGCGGGGAAACCCGGGCCCCGTGCAGCCCGCAGACCTGCCCCGCCCCCCGGTCCTCACACTGTCCCCACGCAGGTTCTCCGCCGGGTCCCGCCTGCGTTTTTCACGGCGCAACTCCCCTTTCGTGATATAGGCTGGTTTTATCCATAGCAGGCCATCTCCTGGTGACCAGGCCTGAGCCCCCCCTAAGGGTTGGGTGAGTTTCAGCTGTGGCCGGGGGGTGGGCTCGGGCTCCTAGCGTCCCTGGGGAGGGGGGCGGCCCACGGGGCGGCCCACCCCGCTTGCTCCTCCACGGTGTGCCCCGTTGCCGGCTTGCCTTGCCAACACTGCCACCTGTCCCATTTCCTTTCGGAGCCAGAGTTGTGGGTGCCCTGCCCCCTAGGCCCCCATGGCTGCAGGCGCCCGAGAGCTGGCCTGCCTGCGCTGGCCGTTCTTGCCGCTCTCTGCAGCTGGGTGAATGAATGGTAATGCATTCCGTCCGACTCCTGCACCTGACCTTCAAGGTCGGCCAGTTGCCAAGACGATGATTACAAAACCTAGAACGAAATACAAAGCCCATCGCGGTCTGGATTCAGCCTTCCTCTTCTTTTGACACCAAACTCTCCTTTCTGCCTGGAATCCTCTTGTCATTTAAACAAGAGGCAGGTAGTCTCTGGAGCCAAACAGCTTGGATTCCTAGATCAGTTCTACTGTTTGCTAGCTGTTTGGCTTTGTTGTTCCTTTCTTGTCTCAATTTCCTCATCTATAAAATGGGGATAATAGTAATTGTATGCTTCACAGGGCCAACAGAAAGGACATACATGGGTAAAATTGTAATATTTCCAGAATACCTTGCCTGGCTTTAGTGCATCTGCATATCAATAGGCATTCCACAGGGGTGGAGAGCAGTTCATCTTCGTATCAGTGGGTAATTATCTGGGCAACCAAGGGCTTACCTGAACCTGAGAGGTTAGGGGGAGGGCTGGTTTGCTTCTGCCAGGAGTAGGAAAGAGAGATGGCCCCGGACCGCAGTTTGTAAGCAATAAACAGGTTTTAAACTTTATTTCTCCCTTTGACTGATTTTTTTTTTAGAGGTATTTTTGCCCTGGGATTTCCTCTCCCCGGAGTTACATCATGATATATGTAAAGCATGTAGAGCAGTATCTGGCACATAGTAGGCACATTGTAAGTGTTGGTCATTATTTGCTGAAGATGTTGGTGAAGTCTTCCTTTCATCTCCAGCTTCTATTATCAATCCGATTGCTTGCGTGTTCATGGAAGCAACTTATCCAGCAGCCTCAGGTCACTTCCTCGGATCTCCTCCATTCTGGCGGCTTTCATTTTAGTTTACCTAAACCACCCCCCTCAGCACCACCCCCAGAACTAGTCAGGACTTAGAACTCTTGAGGACCATCTTGGAAATCTTAAACTTCAGCAATCCACCCTCTGGAAGCAGATGCACATGTCCAGCTCTGTGTGTGCAATCCTTTTACATCTGCTCACTTCCCTCTCCACGTTTTCCAGGTTTTGGTCCCCCTTTTTCTCTCAGCCCATCAGATCTTTCTGGCTTTTTAAATTTTCCCTACTGAGTGTATGCATTATCCATCATTTGAACTCTCTTTGGTTTGATCAGATCTTTGGTTCTTGCACACTCACTCACTCACTAAGCCTCCACATGTCAGGCTTGCATGATCCTGTCCTTCAAGCTTAGAGTCTAGTAAGAGATAAAAAAATACACTAGCAGTTCTATGCTGATAATTTGAGAAAAGAGCTAGGAAAATAATCAATAGGGTGCTAGGATGGAGAAGAAAGAAAGGGTCCCATTTAGAGGCAGTCTTCAGGGATGACAACAGAAAAGTGTTCATTGAATTTGACCAAATAGAGGCTACTGGTAACTATGATGGGATAGTTTCAGGTAGAAAGTGTTGGGGTTTGAACACTTTAAGAGATAATGAAAGTGAAGAAGCAGAGATGGTTCACACCAGGCTACTCTTTGGGCAATTCAGAGAGGGAAGCAAGGGAACATCAAGATACTACAGGAGGCAGGATTCACATCGCATTCAAAAATTACTAAGAATCTTGCCATGGTGAGAGCAGAGCATTAAGCCAAACACAGGGTCCCATGTGACTGAGAGATCCGCACCCATGAAGCTGGCCCTGACCACAGGCTTGTATGCCAACCAGAATAATACATTACTAAAAGAGATATTGGTAATGTAGGAAAGAGGGGAATAAACAAAGAAATGGAATTTGGAGAAGAAAAAAAGGGGATGGGACTCAGAGTATATGTGGAGGGATTAGATGGGACTGAGTCATGTTCTCCACTGTGACAGGGAACAAGGACAATTTGGGGGTTAGTGATGTGGCTGTGATGGCTGAGGGAGGGTGGCAGGAGGAAAAATGAGGGTTTGTGTAGAAAAAGAGCATGTGTGGGACGTGGTGAGGCTGGAGTTCAGACAGCTGAAAGAAGATGGAGGGAGAGTGGATCACGGGAGTTGTTGGTGTTTGCAAGAGGGATGGGAAGACGAACCAAAGCATCCAGGTTAGACAAGACAGTAAGCGAAGTCAGGAGAGGGGCTGGTGGTATTGATTAGGCAGAACAGTTACTGCTGAAGGGATGCAGGAGGAGGTGAGCTGAAGGGACAGGTGTTTGCGACCTGAGAGGTGAAGGTTTAAGTTAATTTTCCTGGTGATGAGGTCAGAGCAGCTCCAGGGAGGTGTGTGGTTGGGTTACAAGAAATGGTCTCTGCTGATGAGGAAGTCAAGGAATCCGGGGGGAAAGTTGTTGGGTGGGTCATGAAGTTGGAGTTGAATTTACCAAGACAGATGAGAGGGCATAGGGTCTTCTAGCAGGAGATGTCAGGACAAGGCTCAGCTCTTCACTGTTTGTCAACATAGGGGGAAGAACGCACTATTTTATGTTTTTTTCTTTCTTTTCTTTTTTTTTAAATTTACGATGTTGATTTAATATAAGGAATGATATTTTGCTGAAACCAAATTGCCCCTCACAACATGAATATTTTATTGACTGCAGGAGTAGACCTATTTAACCATGTACCTCCTGACAACTCAATTCTCCCACTAACCTCTGCACGATAGACCACAGTATAATTTGGCTATAACTTGGTGTGACCACATCTTAATGTTTTTTTCTTACAAAAGTATTTCTCTCTGAAACATGAGATTCCCTGGGTTCTGAGGTTTCCTCTGAGATCACACAACTCTGGGACTGGAGGGGGCGCACTTCTTCCTTTGGGCCAGCAGGGGGCGCGAGAGACTGCAAGGAGCTGGAGTCACAGGAAGGCTTCCGGGAAAGGAAGCGGGTTGAGCTCAGGTCTGGTCGGCCTACTGTTTCATCTCTGGCCCAAGGCAGGTTGAGGGCTGGCTCACCTGTGAGCTGCCTTCTGTATTAGTTTCCAAGGGCTGTCGTCATCAATTACCAGTAGTTTGACAGCTAAAAACAACGGAAATGTATTGTTTATCGGTTCAGGAGGCCAGAAACCTAGGTTTAGTATTAGAAGTCGGAAATTAAGGTCTTCGCAGGGCCATGATTCCTTGGAAGGTTCTAGGGGAGAATCAATCCTTCCTGCCTCCTCGGCATCTGGGGGCTCCAGACCTTCCTTGGCTGTGGCTGCACCCCTCCAGTGCCTGCCTCGATCTTCACATGGCCTCGTCTGTGTCCGTGTCTTCTCTTCCATCTCTTATAAATACACCTGTCATTGGATTTACAGCCCAATCCAGGATGACCTCGTGTCCAGATCCTTAACTTAATCACATCTGCTAAGATCCCTTTCCCAAATAAGGTCACAGTCACAGGTTTTGGGGGTCAGAAGGCACAAATATCTTTTTGGTGGGGCCACCATTCAGCCCACTACACTTTTCTTTTCTCTCGTAATAACCCTGTTGGTGTTACAGTAAGCATAACCCTGCCTGTGCTCAGGTCTTCACTGGGTTACCTTGTTTAACGCTCACAAGTACCCCTATGGCACATAGTACTGAGAACACAGAGTTCACGCATGAGAAAACAGAGGCTCGAAGAGCTGAGAAAGCTGCAGAAGCAGGGCTTCCGATCCAGGGAAAATGCCCTCTTCATCGCGTGCTGCGTCTTCTTGGTAGGATCACAGCTCTATCAAGAAGCTTCCTGCCGTTAGCAGTTAGTTGGGAGAATTTGAGTGGCTAAAGAAATCCGAAGTCTTGTACTACTGTGTAGAGAAAAATGTGAATGTAAGTGCCCAGCTTAAACCTTAACTCTTGGGGTGTGAAGTGTACCCAGCAATAGTGACAGAGAATGAAGGAGAATGCAAAACTCTGGACCCAGTACAGGCTTGTCTTACTGGGAGACCTGACTTCCCGATCCAAGGCGCCTTGTGTCCTGGACCTTAAGGTGGGTAGGTGCCAGCATGGTGACGATGCTTCGGAGGAGAGGGCAGCCAGCCAGATCCGCGAAGGCCACCCAGAG